ATTTATTCGTATTATAATCCATTACATGCAGGGTATTACAACAACAATGATAATAATAATAATAATAATATAATAACAGCTCTCTTGAGTGGATCATTTCTTTCGCTTTCTTTCAGACGTGCAACGTAAGTACGAAGGGCACTGAAGAACCTCTACATGTATACACGTATATACTCCGGTGTCTGGCACGCGATGTATTACTATATACACAAGTGTATAATACATACTGGCACGCTATTGCGCAATATCATATTATTATTATCGTTGATGCTTCCCTACTTCTTCTTTTCCTTTGCTTCCTTGTACTCTTCCGAATCCCGGCTGACCGTAAAGTGTATCGTTTGCGCTTTTTCATCGCGCGTCATAATTAATATACCTGTTACAGACGCACAACTTGCGTAACTTTTTTTTTTCCCCCATCAGCTCCCTGATTGAATGTTTAGGGGGGGGGGGGTACCGGTAAGCTCAATACAGGCGCGTGTACCTCATAGCAATAGAAACATAATGAAAGAATCCACGGCGATGGAAACAAACAAAAGTGTACCTACACCTGTATACGTATATACACATAATAATTACACGTTCTCGTGAAATCAGGTGGTCGCGACAGTTGCGCAAGACTACGAGGTATCGGAAATACAGTGCAGCGGGGCGAGCTCGAGCGCGGACCTGTTGACCGCCAAGGTACGCCGGCCCATTGGCTTCAGGGGCGGTCCGCTCTTCGCCGACGACAGGGCCGCCGATCCGCTTCACGATCCCCACTGCCAGATCAGGCCCGATCCCACCGATCCCCAAGAAGACAACTACTTCCTCAAAGTAACGGACTTTACCCGCTGCGGCATACTCAAGCGCAATGTACGTACATATACATCATATATCATATATGCAGAGAATCGGTACATGATCCATCATCCAAATGTACAGGGCTTCATTCACCTGAGGATATGGTTCCCGGCTTTTCCCGGTGTCGTCATGCTCGCCGACCAAGAGCTGATCCTCATGTGCCGTCCACCCGAGCCCACCCTCCTTAGGCACAAGGCCGCTGGATTCGCCGGCACCTTGTAAGTTATCGATTTTTTTTTTTTTTTTTTTTTTCATTCACTTGACAATATGATAATATACACGTGAAAAATAAAAACGATGCGCGACAGTCCGCACGGGGCTCGAGTCTCGGGGGTGGTCGAGGAGACTCCCGGCCGGCTCGAGTACGAGGTAGCCCTGTACCGGGAGGCGAGCGGGGGCACGAATGGCACCCTGGAACCCGGTATTCCCGGTATCGGTGGCAACAGCGTGTCCCAGACGGTCGACCAGGCCGTGCCGATCGGGACGAAGCTCCAGTTGCGGGCGCGCATCAGCTCCGAGAGCGCCTGGGGCTTCATAAAGCTGATCGAGGTGACCGTGAGCCCGGACCCCGACCAGCCCCACGCCCCGGGCAGCGTCGTCCTCGTAAAGGACGGCTGCAGGAACCGGGACTTCTCGTCCATCATACCCCACCAGCCGGCCCGCTACCGCGACCGCAAGAACGAGGTCTTCCTCGACTTTGAGGCCTTTTTGCTAAGCTCGATGCGCGACCGGTCCACCCTGTGGATACACTCGCAGATAAAGGCGTGCATGGAGCCCCAGGACTGCCAGCCGGTATAACATCATTGTTCACCACGATGATCCATCCACTTGTTGTTCATTATTCACGCGTCTCTCTCACAGGACTTTTGCTTGGACCTGTTCGAGCCATCGGGTCACGGGAGGAGGAGGAGGACTACTGGAGCCGATCCGCACAACGCGACGGGGGTTTACTACCCGAGGACGGGACGGCTCATCCAGCGGTACAACGACTCGACGCCCACGACCAAGTTCAAGGAGAACATCGAGTACACCGTCATCATGCCGGACGGTGAGTAAAAGGCTATATAGTTGGGTTATTGTTTATATTGTCTACTTGAACATTCCGATGGTTAAGATCTGTACGAGCGAGTGGCGGCTAATCTCGAGGGTAGCTGCGGTACTTTCCTCTACGTGGCGTCGGGCCTGGGCTCGTTGCTCGTGCTCTCGGCCCTTATGATGTGCTACCTGGCGTCCCGGCTGCACAGCATGTCGATGGCCCCGCCCATCATGCGGACCAAGTCCATCGACGACCTCGTCAGGGACAGAGCGGCCCTACCCGGGAAGTACTGCGTGCAAGGCTACACCGGCCGCTCGACATGCCAATAGAGTATATATATATATATATGTAACAGTTGGCCCTTGCATGGGTGCTCCTCCACACGAGGTCACCTATTGAGCGCTCTTTTCATCCGAACCGGTTGTGTTTACGTGGGAACTGGTGTTTTTTTTTTTTTTTTTTTTTTTTTTTTTCCACTAACCACATTCGGTTCAAGGGGCTGCTCGATATTATTATTTCATTACTTTTACGATATACGGTTGTGCGCGCAGCGGACGGTTTTAATATTTATCAAGTACAGCGAGTTGGGGATCTCAGAGGTGTCGATCGTATGAGCTTTCAATCGGTTCATCCTCATCCGCGAGCTGCATTTTACGACTGAATTACATTTAGCGACTGGTTTTACGTGTATTTAAGTAGGTTACACATATTCAATTACTTACGTTTTCTACCTCCCAAGTGATTATTACTTACTCCCAATCATTTATTCAATTTGTATGTTTACGATATACCATAAATAATTTTTTTTTCCTTTTTTTTTTTTTTTTTTTTTTTTTTTTTAAGAAAACGGAACCGAGTAATGATAAATGCGCGCTCCGCGGTTGTAATTAAATAAACTGTGTAGGTATGCCAAATTTGCGGAAGTACATGTATACCTACATTGTACTTGTGGAGGTCGTGCGGTGGAGGCCCATCATGACTAGTTGCATTCATTACAATTAATTATAATTACAGTTCGATGACCGATTCTACCGACGCGACGTA